GGGGGTCGGATCCCGGGGGCGGGGTCTCAGTCGGCGGGAAGGGGGGCCCAGAGCAGGGGGCAGAGGTGGGCGGGGCCAGGGTCCCGGGGGCGTGGCCAGGTCTCGGGGGATCGGGCGGGGTCCAGAGGGATCAGAAGCGCTTGTCCTTCACCAGACCGTTCCTCAGCGGCTTCCTGGAGACCAGAACCGGGCGCGGGTTACCCGGCACTCCAAGACCACCCGCTTTCCAGATCCCCACGACCCGATGGCCTCCTAAGTCCCTTTACCCCACCAGGCCTGGCCCCAACCCGCTCCTGCCCTCCCCCAACACCCCCATCTACCCGGCTTGCACCCCAGCGCCCCACCCTTCCTACCGCCTCCCTAATGAAACCTTGCAGCCCCTGCTCCCCACCTCCCCGGGCCAGTACCAGCCTGGGCCTCATTTGATGCCACTAACTGTCCCCAGCAGACCTGCAGCCAGTCGCTCCCTGGACCGGAACCACTCCCCGCCCACATCTGCACCCTCTGCCCCCTGTCCCACTGGACCCTCCCTACTTTCCTTCCACGGTCAAAAAGAAAAAAAAAAGAATTATTGGGACCAGCAGTTAGCGTAATGGCTATGTCGCTGGATTCCCATGTAGCCGACCATGGTTCGAGTCCCGGACCCGGTGGCTTAAAATCACGCCGGGCACGTGCGCGTGCGTGCTCAAGATCCCGAGAAGAGAATGGAGGAGAAGGTATTGCGGCATGGCCATCCCCCCTGGGGGGTGATTTCTCGCTTTCTGTCTCTCTCTGTCTTCTGTTGAGTGCACGCGCCCTGTAGCAAAAACCTCTCAAAAAAAATTATGTGGTTATTTAATTCCATTTGTTATTATTTTTTAATTTGACTAGTGAAAGACAGAGAGAGAGAAAGGGAAAGTGAGAAAGCAAGCCGCCAGGTCAGGGACTTGAACCGCAGTCGGCCATGTGGGAATCCAGCACCTTTAACCACCATACCACCTGCCAACCCTAAGTGAGAAAGCAAGCCACCAGGTCCAGGACTTGAACCACGGCTGTCCACACTGGAGTCAGCACCTTTAACCACTATGACACCTGCCGGCCCTCCTCTTTTTTTTTTTTTAATAGTGAGATTTTTGTTATAGGGCTGTGTGCTTATAGGGAGACAGAGACAGAGAGACAGAAATCACCACTCCCCCAGGGGGGATGGCCACACCGCAATCCTTTCTCCTCCATTCTCCTCTCAGGATCTTGGGCACGCACGCACACGCACCCAGTGTGAGTTGGGACAAGACCAGCACCTGGCGTAGTGGTTAAGGAGGCTGGACACTCCTACATAGCCAACCACAGTTCGAGTCCCGGACCTGGTAGCTTGCTTTCTCACTTTCACTCTCTCTCTGGTCCAAATTATTAAAAAATAAAGAAACAAATAAATAAAATTAAATAAATAATTCAAAAAAAAGAGAAAGAAAACACGCC